TACCCTAAACTAGCTTTTATTGTGCAAATAATACGTTTGCCAAGTGATACCTTCTTTTAAAAATTTGTTCAACAATAAGTTCCGGCTACAAGTCTCAAGCAGAGGAATTTACGAGCTTTTTTGGCCAGAATACAAAAACAATTACTTTCAATCCTTTGATTGCTTTTAACAGGAAGTCAATTCTCAGAATCTTAACTATCATAAATTTGTAAAGATTTTGTACAGAAAATCTATGCGTTGGCGTTTTTTAACCAACTTTTGAGGGTGAAACTCACATGACTGACTAGTCAAGGAGAATTTGCTTTTAAAATGTGAAATTCTTGTATGGCGAGACACGACATTGTTTGACAAACCTCGTTAGGATGCACGACGTCGAAAAAATGTGTCCAGGTAACGCAAAAAACGCCGCATTCCACATTAAGACAGTTTTCTTGGCTGTATTACATTTTTTGTAACCCAATTTTATTTGACCTACCGTTTAATTGTTGTAGGCTGTGCCTGTACTGTTCCATATCGTTCTCTCTAAGATGACGGTTTGATCCCCGCATATCGGTTGTAACACGAGTTGAGCGGATGCACTGACGAGGACCCACGACAGCAGTTGGGGGCATCTCAAACTCTTTTCCACCGTGACGATTATTCGAGACATTCAAATCGCTAGCCTGCATTATTTCTTTTATTACTTACGAGTAGGATGGTAAAGCTGATGTGGCTAATTTACATTCTTATGAGGAAGAACAATGCTGGGTGCAAAGATAATGAAACATTTTGAATAATCAAGTCGCAGTCTAATATGACAACTAATGTTGAAATAAACAACAGAACGTTATTAACAAAAAAATTTTCTTAGCAATATTTCGCCTGTCTATCATAGCCTTCAATCAAAACTATCTCAACTGACTATAAGAGATATCAATTTCTCTTTAAAAAATTTTTGATTATATCTGTTTTCCAGCCTCTAAGATGTCTGCAACTTTAGATTGACTTAAGTACAACCTGTCACGATGCAGATGTAGTAGTAGTTAACAGTAAGATTTTTTTTAAAAAATGGTTGCATTTCTGCAATTCATGAACTTCCAGTCTAAGCATACCAAAATGCTGAACACAGGGGTTCTATTGATTATCGCTTGTGAGATCGCTCTATGTCAAGAGTAGCTAAATACCCTAAAGTTTGATGTATTTTGCCTCTTTTATCTATTCAAGTAGAGATTGACCAGACAAATCTAGACAAATTCTTACAAAATTACAAAATTTCAAAAAAAAGACATTTCGAACGAAAATGAGTTCTTCCCAAACATTTCCCAATGTAAATGAGCA